AGGCAGGAGAATCACTTGAACCTGGGAGGTAGAGGTTGCAATGAGCCAAGATCACGCCACTGCACTCCAGCTGGGGAGACAGAGGTGAGACTCTGTCTCAAAATAATAATAATAATAATAAAATTAAGGACTTATATATAAAAAATTAAGGACTTATACTACCTGATTTTTAAGACTTACCATAAAGCTACATTAGTGAGGAGCACAATACAAATGTGAGAAGAGTTCAAAGGAGCAGAACAGAGCACCCAGAAAACAGACCCACAACTGATTTTTCTTTTTTTTTGAGACAGGGTCTCACTCCATCACCCAGGCTGGAGTGCAGCGGTGCGAACATGGTTCACTGCAGCCTCAACCTGCCAGGCTCAAGTGATCCTACCACCTCAGCCTCCCACATAGCTGGGACTACAGGCAAACAACTCCAGCTAATTTTTTGTACTTTTTGTAAAGATGAGGTTTCGCCATGTTGCCCAGGCTGGTCTCGAACTCCTGGGCTCAAGCGATCCACCTGTCTTGACCTCCCAGAGTGCTAGGATTACAGGTATGAGCCACTGTGCCTTGCCCCACAATTAATTTTTAACAAAAGTATCAAAGGAATTCAATGAAAGAAGGAAAGTCTTTTCAAAAACAGTGTTGGAAGAACGGAATGCCCAAATTTAAAAACAAAGAACACCAATCCCTATCTCATACCATTCCAAAAAAACCTAAAAATCACCTCAACTTAAAGTTGATTTTTTTTTTAAAGTTTCTTTTTTTTTGAGACGGAGTTTCACTCTGTTGCCCAGGCTGGAGTACGTTGGTGCAATCTTGGCTCACTGCAACCTCTGCCTCCCAGGTTCAAGTGATTCTCCTGCCTCAGTCTCCCAAGCAGCTGGGATTACAGGCGCGCATCACCACGCCCAGCTAATTTTTTTTTCTTTTTTTGAGACGGAGTCTTACTCCGTCGCCCAGGCTGGAGTGCAGTGGCGTGACCTCAGCTCACTGCAACCTCCACCTCCCAGGTTCAAGTGATTCTCCTATCTCAGCCTCCCAAGTAGCTGGAACCATAGGCGCGTGCCACCACGCCCAGCAAATTTTTAGTAGAGTCGGGATTTCACCACGCTGGCCAGGCAGGCCTCGAACTCCTGACCTCAGGTGATCCGCCCCTCTCGGCCTCCCAAAGTGCCAGGATTACTTGCATCAGCCATGGCGCCCGGCTGAATTTTTGTATTTTTAGTAGAGATGGAATTTCACCATGTTGGCCAGGCTGGTCTCAAACTCCTGACCTCAAGCAATCCACCCACCTCGGCCTCCCAAAGCTAGGATTGTGGGCATGAGCCACCGCCCCCAGCCAAAATTATACAGTTTCTAGAAAAAAATCTTCACAACTTGGAGATAAGCGAAGATTTCTTTGACAGCATACAGACAGCAAAAAACATAAAACAGAAAAGTTGACCAAATTTCATATTTAAAAAACCATTTTATAGTTTTAACAAACTTCATCAAAATTTTAAAACTCCTGCTCATCAAAAGACATTAAGAAAACGAATAGGTAGGCTCTAGGCTAGAACAAAATATTCATGAAACAAATACATGACAAAAGACGAGCCAGGCACCGTGGCTCACGCCTGTAATCCCAGCATTTCAGGAGGCCGAGGCAGGCGGATCACCTGAGGTCAGGAGTTCGAGACCAGCCTGGCCAACATGATGAAACCACGTCTCTACTAAAAATACAAAAATTAGCCAGGCGTGGTGTCGCATGCCTGTAATCCCAGCTTCTCAGGAGGCTAAAGCAGGAAAATCGCTTGAACCCAGGAGACGGAGATTGCAGTGAGCCAAGATCGCATCACTGTACTCCAGCACGGGCAACAGAGGGAGATTCTATCTCAAAAGAAAAAGAAAACAAGTTGTTCTCAAAGAAGTAGAGAGTAGGCCAAGTGCAATGGCTCACACCTGTAATCCCAGCACTTTGAGAGTCCAAGGTGGGAGGACTGCTTGAATCCAGGAGTTCGAGACCAGCCTGGGCAACATAGTGAGACCTCGTCTCTATTTAATTTAAAAAAAAAAAAAAAAAAAGAAAGAAAGTAAAGAGTAAAATAGTAGTTACCAGAGGATGGAGAGGGGAAGGGAGAGGAAAGCAGGAGAGAGATTGGTCAATAGGTGCAGAACTACATCATACAGAAGGAATAAGTTCTGGTGTTCTATTGCAAAATAGGAAGCTTAGGGTTAACAATAATAAATTGTATTTTTTTTGTTTTTTTGAGATGGAGTCTTGCTCTGTTGCCTGGACTGGAGTGCAGTGGCTCGATCTCGGCTCACTGCAACCTCCACCTCCCAAACTCAAGTAATTCTCCTGCCTCAGCCTTCTGAGTAACTGGGATTACAGGCGCCCACTACCACACCCAGCTAATTTTTGTATTTTTAGTAGAGACGGGTTTTCCCCATGTTGGCCACGCTGGTCTCGAACTACTGACGTCAGGTGATCCGCCCATCTCCACCTCCCAAAGCGCTGGCATTACAGGTGTGAGCCACCATGCCCAGCCAGAACTGTATATTTCAAAATAGCTAGAAAAGAGGTTTTTGGCCGGGCACGGTGGCTCAAGCCTGTAATCCCAGCACTTTGGGAGGCCAAGACGGGTGGATCACGAGGTCAGGAGATCGAGACCATCCTGGCTAACACGGTGAAACCCCGTCTCTACTGAAAAAATACAAAAAACTAGCCGGGCGTGGTGGTGGACGCCTGTAGTCCCAGCTACTCCGGAGGCTGAGGCAGGAGAATGGCGTGAACCCGGGAGGGGGAGCTTGCAGTGAGCTGAGATCTGGCCACTGCACTCCAGCCTGGGCGACAGAGCGAGACTCCGTCTCAAACAAAAAAAAAAAAAAAAAAGAAAAGAGGTTTTTGAATGTTCTCATCACAAAGAAATGATAAATGTTTAAGGTGATAGATATGCTAATTACCCCAATTTGATCATTACACAATGTATACATGTGTGAAAACATCACATTGTACCCCATTAAAAGGTACAAACATTATATGTCAATCACAAATTGTTTTAAATGTGTCAAAACTTTGAATAGACACATAAAAAAGGAAGCTATGTGAATGGCTAACAAATAGCTGTAGAGTGCTGAACTCAACAAATGGCAAATTCAAAATCTGTGCATTTCGCTGTATGTAAATTTGACCTCAGAAAAAAATCAGAAACAATATTGAATTCTACTTAATGATATGCATGCTGAAGTATTTAGAGGTGAAATGTATTGAGATCTGCAACTTTCTCTGAAGTGCATGAAAACATAAGATGGGCCGGGCACAGTGGCTCATGCCTATAATCCTAGCACTTTGGGAGGCCGAGGCGGGCAGATCACCTGAGGTCAGGACTTCGAGACCAGCCTGGCTAACACGGTGAAACCCCGTTTCTACTAAAAATACAGAAATTAGCCAGGTGTGGTGCCGCGTGCCTGTAATCCCAGCTACTCTGGATCCTGAGGCAGGAGAATCGCTTGAACTCAGGAGGTAGAGGTTGCAGTGAGCCGAGATTGCGCCATTGCACTCCAGCCTGGGCGACAAGAGCGAAACTCCGCCTCAAAAAAAAAAAAAAAAAAAGGTTGGGGCAGAGGAGGGAATACAGGAAAATAAAGGCAGTTGCTTCCCTGATAATGAAGTAATTTGCTCCCAAGTCACCCTCATCTGTATCAATCAAGCTTGGCCCCTATGGCCTGGAAGCTGCCCCAGAGACCAGCACAAAACCTCCTGAGAAGAATGGTGTGGCTGCTATGTCTCCTATACTCTATCCCTTCATGAAGCTATGTGAATTTAATGCAGGGTTAAAGGACATTGCATACCATGAATTTGATTATCAATCCAAAACTAAGGCCATTCTTCATGGCTGTGCATTGTTTTAACAGCTACAGCCTAACACCTAGTCTTTCCCTGTACTATTTTACAGTTTTAGCTGTCTTCATAATAATTATTACCAGTGTCATTAATTTCCTGTCTCTATGCATCATTTCCCAAAGAATCTTGGATCTTTGAGAATAAGGACAGTGAATTTAACACTCTATTTGGCTAGCTCCCACAATCTCATATAGTCCTCTGCCCAGAAACCAATAAATTAAATTTCTGGTACAGAAAAGACCATAAGAGTTGGGGGACAGGGATATGCAACATCAGAAGAAGGGGGTGAACTCTATGGGGCTCTTCATCTAAAAACATAACCCCATTTCCTAGAGTTGGAAAATGTGTTCTTTCATCACTGGGTAGTTTTCTAGGACAAAAAAAAAACAGTCAAGAAGGCATCACAGAAAATTAATGGTTTGAGATCAGAGAAATCTGGATTTAATTCCTGACTCTACCATTTGGCCATTCGCATGTCCCCGTGCATAAATCATGTAATCCCTCTAAGCCAGATGATCTCATCTCTCAAATGGGGACATCACCACCCATCTCCTACAGCTGTTAATGATTTAAACATAAGACTGAAATATTTATGGATTAAATGGTATGATGCCTTGGATTTTCTTTAATCCAGTAGGAATGGAGATGAAATAAAATTGGCCATGAGTTGATCATTGCTGAAGTGGGATGAGGATACAGAAGAGTTCATTAACTCTTTTTCCACTTTTGCATCTTTGTTTTCTATAATAAAATGTGAAAAAGAGGTCCAATGTACAAGATAAGACTATTAGATACTATTAAAGTGTTATAATTATTTGTGCAAATGTTGACATAGGGAACTTTTAATAGTGCATTTTAGGATCTTAATAACCCAAGGTTTTTATAAAAAGTTACCATTACATTTTAGAATACTCTGAATTAATATTAAACTTGGTCATGTTTTTGTATAAGTTCAAAAAACAGAAAGATTAAACACAAAAACCATTATAATATGCCTAGAACAATGGCTAACACAAGGCATAAACCACTTAATCACTTCCTCCCTTCCCAAGAAAGAGAGATGAGCCCATTCTCTGAGAAATGAGCCAGCATTTCAGAAAAGAGAAAGGTGGGTCCAACTCACCAGATATCTAGGCTTCCCTTCCCAAGGCCAGGCAGAATCCTTGGCAGGCAGAGCTGGGGAAAGAAAGAAGCAGTTTTAAGAAGCCAGCCCTACCAGGCCCATCATGAGGATCCCCAAGAGCCCTCTGAGCCTTGGCTGTCGTCACCTGAGCCTTCTCAGCGGACCCAGACCCCGAGCTCCTTGCACCTACTGCCTTATGCTTGAGTCAACTTCTCTATGCTCTGCACCACTTCCCTATTACATCTTTACAGAAACACTAATCTTAATCAAATGTAGTAAGGTAAACTCGAAGCATTCATCATTTTTCTACCCTAAAAATTAGCAAAACTGTTGAGACAAGGCATCATTTCCCCCATGTGTTATGTGACTCCAGGTAGACATTTTTTTTTCTTTAATTTATGAAAATGGACCGAGCACAGTGGCACGCACCTATAATCCCAGAACTCTGGGAGGCCGAGGTAGGCAGACCACTTGAGGTCAGGAGTTTGAGACCAATCTAACCAACATGGCAAAGAAACCCCATCTCCATTAAAAATACAAAAATTAGCCAGGCATGGTAGTGCACATCTATAATCCCAGTTACTCAGGAAGCTGTGGCAGGAGAATCACTTGAACCCAGGGGATGAAGGTTGCAGTGAGCAGAGATCACACCACCGTACTCCAGCCTGGGCAACAGCAAAACTCCATCTCAAAAATAGTTTATGAAAGAGAAGTCTGTGATTTAATAAAAATGTATTTTTAAAAAATGTGTCAGGCCGGTTTCAGTGGCTCACATCTTTAATCCCAACACTTTGGGAGTCCGAGGTGGGAGGATCACTTGAATCCAGGGCTTCAAGACCAGCCTGGGCGACAATGAGACCCACACCTCTAATAATAAAAATAATCATTGTGGAATTTATTGATTGATTGAGACAGGGTCTCACTGTTGCCCAGGCTAGAATGCAGTGGCGCAATCTCTGCTCACTACAACCTCCACCTCCTGGGCTCAAAGGATCCTCCCACCTCAACTTCCCTGGGATTACAGGCATGCACCACCACACCTGGCTACTTTTTGTATTTTTTGTAGAGACGGGGTTTCACCATGTTGGCCAGGCTGGTCTCAAACTCCTGACCTCAGGTGATCCACCCACCTTAGCCTCCCAAATGCTGGGATTACAGGCATGAGCCACCGCGCCCAGCCTTCCCTGCCATATCTTTGCTGAGGGGAAAGAAGAATGTTTTCCTGATCCTTGAATGTCACTGATTCTGAAAGTTCAGAAAAGGAACTGCAATGTGGTATTTCTAACCTGTGACCTGTGCCTTTGTAGAAGGGACAGAGTCTGGGGAAGGGAGTGCCTCTCGGGGAGGAGGGTCTTAGCAGCAGACCGAAGCTTTCTCCTTGACACTCTTTATTCCAGTGTGAAAGACAGGAACATACTGATAAGGCATACGTGTTTACAAGATATATAGAAGCTGGCCAGGCTCTGCATGGTGCCTCATGCCTGTAATTCCAGCACTTCGGGAGGCCAAGGCGGGCGGTAAGTAGTTCGAGACCAGCCTGGCCAACATGGTGAAACCCCATCTCTACTAAAAACGCAAAAATTAGCCAGGTGTGGTGGCGCACGCCTGTAATCCCAGCTACTTAGGAGGCTGAGGCAGGAGGATCACTTGAACCCACGAGGAGGAGGTTGCAGTGGGCTGAGATCATGCCACTGCACTCCAGCCTGGGCAACGAGAGTGAAAAACTCCGTCTCAAAGGAAAAAAAAAAGCAGCTTATAATTTGTCTCATCTATTTTTGAGCTCCCCAGAGAGTAATAGTGCAGTTACTATGGGGAATTAGGCTAAGGGTAGCCTTGTCCTTGGGTTTGCAAGAAAAAAAAGCCCTAAATGTGATAATGACATCACCCCTGCTGAAATCATCACCCCTGGAAAAACACTCTAAATAGACCCCAACAACAACTCTGGCTTTTGTATTAAGCTGATGAGAATGTGTCAAGTGATTTAATAAAGACATATATACAATTTCTCCTCTTGCATGCCCTAGAAAACCATCATCCTGGCCCCATAATATGTGCCTAAACTATGTATCTATCCAGAACTGCACATCTTTGTGTAAATGGAGCAGCATTTTAAAATTTTAAAAATACATAAAATTATAATCTTGTTTGATAACTGTCTTGGGTAATTTTCCAAGTTACTGTTTTCCTCACTAAAGTCAGGAGGGAAAAAAAAGCAATCTTACTATTTCAAGTTCTAAAGTTTTAGAAGTAGAAAAACTGAGTACCATGATTTGGCCACTCCCAGTGGCTACATCTGAGCAAAGCACAAGGCAAGGAGGCAAATCCTTAGAGTTTTCAGCAAAAAAGACCATCTAAGCCTTGCCCTTCCAGAGGGACAGATGGTTCTGATCCCACTGAGCAGGCGGGAAAAAACTGAGGGACACAGAATAACCTCATACAGCTGAACTAAGGGATCCTACCTCGAGTCCCCGCTCTGCCCTTACTCCTTAGGTGCCTCTCCCCAGCATAAGACCACTCACAGGCAAATCATTCAGGGAGGCAAAGAAGTCCTCCAAGAAGGGAACAGGTGTTGAATGACAGGCACACTCCAGGACCTCAGGAGCAGGTGCCTCCGCCCATGTTGGACACATCTGCAAAGCACTTAGGGAAGTCAAAGAACCTTTCTAGCTCTGTGACCACAAATCACCTTCTTTGCCACTCACAAGAGGGAAAAGTTATTCTCCTTCTAAAGTTCAACTTAGTGTTACTGTCTTTACTTTTTTTTTTTTTTTTGAGACGGACTTCTGCTCTTGGTGCCCAGGCGTACAGTGGCACGCACGATCTCAGCTCACTGCAACCTCCACCTCCACCTCCACCTCCTGGGTTGAATTCTCCTGCCTCAGCCTTCTGAGTTGCTGGGACTACAAGCGCACACCACCAAGCCCGGTTAATTTTTGTATTTTTAGTAGAGACAGAGTTTCACCATGTTGGCCAGGCTGGTCTCGAACCCCTGACCTCAGATGATCCACCCGCCTCAGCCTCCCAAACTGCTGTGATTACAAACGTGAGTCACTGCAATCCGGCCCACCATCTTTACTTTCTTTAGTTTTGCTATCCAATTGAACTGGTCTTGGCACAGTAGGCAGAGACAAAGCCCACCACCCTCAAAGAGTGGATGGAAAGAGGCATAAGGGCTCCCACACAGGACAAACAGCTACATGCTGGACGATGGCTTGGCGAACTACACACAGGCCAAATCCAGCCTGTCACCTGTTGTTATACCACCCAAGGGCTAAGAATAGTCTTTACTTAAGAAAAAAAAAATTTTTTTTTTTTTTTTTTTTTTTTTTTGAGACGGAGTCTCGCTTTGTCGCCCAGGCTGGAGTGCAGTCGCCGGATCTCAGCTCACTGCAAGCTCCGCCTCCCGGGTTTACGCCATTCTCCTGCCTCAGCCTCCCGAGTAGCTGGGACTACAGGCGCCCACCACCTCGCCCGGCTAGTTTTTTGTATTTTTAGTAGAGACGGGGTTTCACCATATTAGCCAGGATGGTCTCGATCTCCTGACCTCGTGATCCGCCCGTCTCGGCCTCCCAAAGTGCTGGGATTACAGGCTTGAGCCACCGCGCCCGGCCCTAGAAAAAAAAAATTTTTAACATAAAGATGATGTCTCACTATGTTGCCCAGGCTGGTCTCAAAATCTGGGCTCAAGTGATCCTAGCCTCAACTTCCCAAAGTGCTGGAATTACAGGTGTAAGCCACCACGCTGGGCCAGTTTTTATATTTTTAAATGGCTGGAAAAAAAAAATCAAAAAGAATATTTCATAATGAAAAGTATACATGAAATTCAATGTTCTTTTTTTTTTTTTTTTTTTTTTTTTTTAGACAGAGCCTCATTCTGCTACCCAAGCTGGAGTGCAGTGACACGATCTCGGCTCATTGAAACCTCTGCCTCCAAGGTTCAAGCAATTCTTGCGCCTCAGCCTCAGAGTAGCTGGGATTACAGGTGTATGGCACCACGCCCAGCTAATTGTTTTTTTTTTTAAGTAGAGATGGGGTGTTGCCATGTTGACCAGGCTGGTCTTGAACTCCTGGGCTCAAGGGATCCATCCGCCTTGGCATCCCAAAGTGCTGGGATTACAGGCGTGAGCCACTGCACTCAGCCAAAGTTCAAATTTCAATGTCCACAGAGAAAGTTTTATTGGAACACAGCAATGCTCATTCGTTTACCTATAGTCTTTGCTTTCACACACCAGCAGACCACTAGCTGTGTGGCCTACAAAGCCTGAAATATTTACCACCTGGCCTTTAAAAGAAAATATTTGCGAGACCAGGTGCAGTGGCTCACGCCTGTAATCCTAGCACTTTGGGAGACCGAGGCGGGAGGATCCCTTGAGCCCAGGAGTTGGGAGACCAGCCTTGGCAACATAGGGAGACACTGTTTATTAAAAAAAAACAAACACAAAAAGTTTGCCCAGCCCTGTTCTAGACTGCTCCTGTTGGAAGTCATTTGGGGCCAGGCACAGTAGCTCACACCAGTAATCCCAACACTTTGGAAGGCCGAGGCGGGTGGATTATCCGGGGTTAGGAGTTCGAGATCAGCCTGGCCAACATGGTGAAACCCAGTTTCTACTAAAAATACAAAAAAATAGCTGGGCGTGGTGGCATGTGCCTGTAATTCCAGCCACTTGGGAGGTTGAGGCAGAAGAATCGCTGGAACCTGGGGGAGAAAGGTTGCAGTGAGCGGAGATCGCCTACTGCACTCCAGCCTGGGCTACAAAGCGAGACTCTGTCTACAAAAAAAAAAAAAAAAAAGTGTTTTGGGCCGGGTAGGGGGGCTAACACCTGTAATCCCAACACTGTGTGAGGCCAACGCAGATGGATTGCTTGAGGCCAGGAGTTCGAGACCAGCCTGGCAAACATGGCGAAATCCCCTCTCTACTAAAAATACAACAGCCGGGGTGGTGAGGCGCCCCCTGTAATTCCAGCTACTCCGGAAGCTGAGGAAGGAGAATCACTTGAGCCTGGGAAGCGGAGGCTGCAGTGAGCCGAGATCCCGCCACTGCATTAGGGACGGATTCAAAAAATATAAAAATGCAATATACACCGGGCGCGGTGGCTCACGCCTGTAATCCCAGCACTTTGGGAGGGCGAGGCGGGCGGATCACGAGGCCAGGAGTTCAAAACCAGCCTGGCCAACATGGTGAAACCCTGTCTCTACTAAAAATACAAAAATTAGCCAGGCGTGGTGGAGGGCGCCTGTGATCCCAGCTACTCGGGAGGCTGAGGCAGAGAACTGCTTGAACCCAGGAGACGGAGGTTGCAGTGAACAGAGATCGCGCCACTGCACTCCAGCCTGGGCGACGGAACGAGACTCCGTCTCAAAATAAATGATATAGTAATATAAAATGCTGTTCTTCAGTTGCACTCTGCACATCTCTTTTTTTTTTTTTTTGAGACGGAGTCTGGCTCCGTCGCCCAGGCTGGAGTGCAGTGGCGCGATCTCGGCTCACTGCAAGCGCCCCCTCCCGGGTTTACGCCATTCTCCTGCCTCAGCCTCCCGAGTAGCTGGGACTACAGGCGCCCGCTACCTCGCCCGGCTAGTTTTTCGTATTTTTTAGTAGAGACGGGGTTTCACCGTGTTAGCCAGGATGCTCTCGATCTCCTGACCTCGTGATCCGCCCGTCTCGGCCTCCCAAAGTGCTGGGATTACAGGCTTGAGCCACCGCGCCCAGCCGACTCTGCACATCTCAAATGCTCAACAACCATAAATGGCCAATGACTGCCGGAGTGCACAAGTGCAGAAGGCCCGGCGAAGAGTCGTGGAGTGAGCACCGTGGAGACTGTACGGGACACCTAGGGAGGAACCTGGCCCTCCAGGGGAGTAAGAGCCGCTGTAGGGGTAGTCAGCGCCTCACACAGCTCGCACCCCGCGTGCAACTCTCGCGGATACGGCCGACGCCTGCGCGGCGCCTGCGGCTGGAGCACGGGGTGGGGGAGGCGGTCTCGCTGCCCGGACTCACCTTCAGTAGCCGAGCCCAGAAGCTGTTCCCGCGGGGCCCACATCTGCGCGCGCACGCACGGACCAAACGAAGTAGCACCACCGTGTCTGAAACGGATTCGAACGCGCACCGCGGGCCACTGGCGGCGCCAGAAGAAGCACAACTGGAGGAAGTGCGTCACCGCGCGGCGCGCAGCCTGCCGGGAAGCGTAGTTCTCGGGGCGGAATGCGACTTGTGCAGGGCGAGAGAAAATGCTGAGGCGCACTTTGACCCTCTAGGTCCCTCTCGGGCGCAGTATTTGGGGTTGTGTTTACCACAGGTACCCATAAGCAAAATATAGTGTTGTTTTCCATGGTTGTAAACATTATATAAATACACTTACAACGTAAGAACGCCTGCTACTAGCTCTTTTGCACACTTCTATAATGACACGTGTTGACCTGTTCATTGTGTGTTCACTGCTGTGTGGTGTCTAATGTAGAAATAGACCAGGACGGGCCGGGCGCGGTGGCTCAAGCCTGTAATCCCAGCACTTTGGGAGGCCAAGGCGGGCGGATCAAGAGGTCAGGAGATCGAGACCATTATGGCTAACATGGTGAAACCCTGTCTATACTAAAAAAGATACAAAAAATTAGCCGGGCGTGGTGGCGGGCGCCTGTAGTCCCAGCTACTTGGGAGGCTGAGGCAGGAGAATAGCGTGAACCCGGGAGGCGGAGCTCGCAGTGAGCAGAGACCGTGTGCCACTGCACTCCAGCCTGGGCGACAGAGCAAGACTCCGTCTCAAAAAAAAAAAAAAGAAAGAAAGAAATAGACCAGGACTCCAATTGGACAGACTTATGCGTATCCATGGAGACCTTCTCTAGGACAGTGGTTCCCAAACGTTTTGTTGTTGAAATCCTTTTAGACTCTTAAAAATTACTGAAGACCCCAAAGAGCTTTTGAAACAGCCTTTGCAACATTATAACTAAGGAAATTCGGATGTTATAGGAGTTATTAAGAAATTATTTTAGGCAGATAGAGAAGAAAAGGGGGCCTTGGTAAGTTTTTGTTTCTTTTTTTTCTTTTCTTTTTTTTTTTTGAGACGGAGTCTCGCTGTGTCTCCCAGACTGGAGTGCAGTGGCACGATCTCGGCTCACTGCAAGCTCCACCTCCCAGGTTCACGCCATTCTCCTGCCTCAGCCTCCCAAGTAGCTGGGACTACAGGCGCCCGCCACCACGCCCGGCTAATTTTTTGTATTTTTAGTAGAGATGGGGTTTCACCGTGTTAGCCAGGATGGTCTCGATTTCCTGACCTCGTGATCCACCCGCCTCGGCCTCCCAAAGTGCTGGGATTACAGGCGTGAGCCACCGCGCCCGGCTTTTGTTTCTTTTAAAGCAGCTCCAGAAAGGTTTCTTGTCTAGCAGGAAAACCTGGGATCCTAGAGCCGGATGGCAAGCTTTGCTATGCAAACTCAGGCCATTAGAAACTGGGTGCACCCAAACCTGGCGATTCCCGCCCTCCTCTTCTTTGCCCTGACAGCTGCCTGGCAACATGGCCACCCCCCACATATTCCCACGTGAGTAGAACTTCAAGGCGCTCTACATTTGCATATTAAAAAGCTAGGGTGGGAGGGCCAGGTTTTTTGGCTGCCACGTAAATGACACATCTGATCAAACTAATCCCCTGAGCCCTATGGAAACCAGACACCACCTCCTCCAGCATCCCAAGATAAGCAGCCACTTTTCCGCACACGGTGCTTTTCTCTTTGTTCCAATCTCCGCTCCCTCTGTCTCTACAGAGGAGCTGTTTTCCTCTTCCTTCGTTCTTTCTTGCCTATTAAACTTTTCGCTCCTTGAAACCACTCCACGTGTGTCTGTGTTGTTAATCCTATCAGAGACCAAGGACCCTGGTGTTCCTCTAGTCATCAGAGCCTTATCAATGACAGTAGAAGATATCAGACCTAACCCACCTCATCTTCCTTTCAACCTCTAACCTGTCTTTGTCCACTCCTGGGCATAGGCTGAACTAGCCTTGGAAAGAAATTCAGTTTATAGTTTAAATAATAGCCCTTCCCAAGGGCTAAACTGTTCTTGTAAAATGAATGAAAGGCCACCAGCCACCCAATTAGGATGAGAGGGGCTGGAATTCTAAATATTACCAGCCATTATTCCAGAGGCCCTAAGAAGCACAACTTCCCCAATTTTTATTTTTAGGGGAAGGGAGACGGAGTCTCACTCTCGCCCAGGCTAGAGTGCAGTGGCGCGATCTCGGCTCACTGCAACCTCCCTCTCCTGGGTTCAGGCTAAGGGAGAAGACCACCCCTCATATTGTCTTATGCCCAATTTCTGCCTCCAAAGAAAGAAGAAGTAAAAACTAAAAAGCAGAAATGAAATCCACAGGCAGACAGCCGGGTGCCACACCCTGGGCCTGGCAGTTAAAGATCGACCCCTGACCTAATTGGTTCTGTTATCTATAGATTACAGACATTGTATAGAAATGCACTGTGAAAATTCCTATCTTGTTTTGTTCCAATCTAATTACTGGTGCACGCAGCCCCCAGTCACGTACCCCCTGCTTGCTCAATCAATCACGACCCTCTCACATGCACCCCCTTAGAGTTGTGAGCCCTTAAAATGGACAGGAATTGCTCACTCAGGGAGCTCGGCTCTTGAGACAGAAGTCTTGCCGATGCCCCCGGCCGAATAAACCCCTTCCTTCTTTAACTCGGTGTCTGAGGAGTTTTCTCTGCTGCTCATCCTGCTACAAAGCGATTCTCCTGCCTCAGCCTCCTGAGGAGCTGGGATTACAGGCACGCACCACCATACCCAGCTAATATTTTTGGATTTGTTTTTTGTTTGTTTTTTTGCTTTTTTGAGACGGCATTTCACTCTTATTGCCCAGGCTGGAGTGCAATGGCGCTATCTCGGCTCACTGCAACCTCCTCCTCCTGAGTTCAAGCAATTCTCCTGCCTCAGCCTCCCAAGTAGCCGGGATTACAGGCATGCACCACCATACCCGGCTAATTTTGTATTTTTAGGAGGGACGGGGTTTCTCCATGTTGGTCGGGCTGGTCTTGAACTCCTGACCTCAGGTGATCCTCCCACCTTGGCCTCCCAAAGTAGTAGGATTCCAGGTGTGAGCCACCACCACGCCCAGCCCCCAATTACTCTTGAAGATAATATCACTATTGTGAACCTAAAATTGGCCTTTTGAGATGTCTTTTCAGATTTTTGCATTTCTGACAACTGAATGACCCCATCTGGACCTGCCAACCAGTTCTGCGGCCACCACCTAGGAACTGACTCATCGTAAGAGAACAGCTTCAACTCCTTATGATTTCATCCACGAGCCAACCAATCAGCACCCCCTATTCACTACCCGCCCCCAACTTCCCACCAAATTATCCTTAAAAATTTTGATCTCTGAGTTTTGGGGGAGACTGATTTGAGTAATAATAAAACTCTGGTCTTCCGCATAGCCAGCTCTGCTTGAATTACTCTTTCTCTATTGCAATTTCCCTGTCTTTGATAAATTGGCTCTGTCTAGGCAGCAGGGAAGGTGGACCCATTGGGTGGTTATACTTTTGTTTGTGTGAGCTAAATTCATCACTATTTACCAAACTAGATATTTCAATGCAGAAATTTCATATATGTATATATTCATTTTAAAAACTAATAAACCCATTACTTGTTAACATAAATATTTCTATGAAAATGTTTTCCTTTTAAAAATTTAGTAACAAAAGAGGCATTATTTTACATTTTTGCAAAATTCTTTAATACTCAATAGAAGAAGCTGGCAGGGTGCAGTGGCTCACGCCTGTAATCTCAGCACTTTGGGAGGCTAAGGCAGGTGGATCATCTGAGGTCAGGAGTTTGAGACCAGCCTGGCCAACATGGTGAAACCTCATCTCTACTAAAAGCACAGAAAAATTAGCCGGGCATGGTGGTGTGTGCCTGTAATCCCAGCCACTCAGAAGGCTGAGGCAGGAGAATCGCTTGAACCTGGGAGGCGGAGGTTGCAGTGAGCAAGATTGTGCCACTGCATTTCAGCCCGGGCAACAGGAGCTAAAACTCCATCAAAATAAATAAATAAATACATAAGCTGAATTTTCCATCTGCTTCTGCATCCAATCTGTTGTAATAGCTGTTAAGCTGTTGTCATAGCAGGAGAACGAAGCAAACTCCTGACAGATTTGATGGGTTAAGTTACAGTGAACCTTTCTTCAATTTTAACATTTTATTACTCATATAGACAGCAAAAGGAAAAGTGCCAAAGGCGTGAACTCCTTGTGGCCTTTATACTAAGTGACACCAAAACAAAAGGGACCAGATGACTGCGTCACAAATGATAGGACAGTCTGTTGCTGAGGAGCCAATTCTAGACTGCAATTGAGCAACTTTATAGCCTACAGCTGTACCCTGGGGAGCCAGAGCAGAAAGCCACATACCTAATCAAAACCCTCATACGGAGGCTGGGCACGCTGGCTCACGCCTGTAATCCCAGCACTTTGGGAGGCCAAGGCGGGTGGATCACCTGAGGTCAGGAGTTCGAGACCAGCCTGGCCAACATGGTGAAACTTTGTCTCTGCAAAAATATAAAAATTAGCCGGACGTGGTGGCGGGTGCCTGTAATCCCAGCTATTCGAGAGGGGCTGAGGCAGGAGAATCGCTTGAACCCAGGAGAAGGAGGTTGCAGTGAGCCAAGATTGAGCCACTGCACTCCAACCTGGGTGACAAGAGCAAACTTATGTCTCAAAAAAAAAAAAAAATCTGGCCGGGCGCGGTGGCTCAAGCCTGTAATCCCAGCACTCTGGGAGGCCGAGGCGGGCGGATCACGAGGTCAGGAGATCGAGACCATCCTGGCTAACACGGTGAAACCCCGTCTCTACTAAAAAAAATACAAAAAACTAGCCGGGCGAGGTGGCGGGCGCCTGTAGTCCCAGCTATTCGGGAGGCTGAGGCACGAGAATGGCGTAAACCCGGGAGGCAGAGCTTGCAGTGAGCTGAGATCCAGCCACTGCACTCCAGCCTTGGCGACAGAGCGAGACTCCGTCTCAAAAAAAAAAAAAAAAAAAAAAAAAAAAAAAAATCTTTATTGGTCATCAAATATTAATCCTGACCCAGCAAGAGCTTGATGACTGCACATACCCTCACCTCAAAAGGCCAGCAAGAAGTCAGGCAATGCAACTTTTTATCACCACTATGGAGAGTTTTGCATT